TTAATTTGTTTCTCTACCAGAAGATGGCATTGGATACACTTTGAAGGCCATTAAATACGAGCAATTACATCTGGACAATCGATTTTTGTATGAATCAATACTTTCGCTCTCAAAGTAATATTTCTTTCTCTACATGTCCGTTGGATTGATGATCTACTGGGCCCGGGTTCGTGTTCTGGTCAAGAATTTCATAAATTTTTAAGCTTTTCTTCTTCCTGGCCTGTATCTCGAGAAATCAAATTCAAGACCAGATATGAAATCTCAGGGGCAGGAAGCCCGACTAACTGTATATAGACTTCCGGAATAGAACAGAAGTCACGTGAATTCAATTCAAAAATTGCCCTTGAATGGAGTTACATAGATGACCGGCACGACTCCATTGCTAACGGAAAAGTATGATGTACAGGAGAGGGACACTATAGTACTAATTTGAAGTGGAAAGCATATAACTTAGTTTAAATAAATTCAAAGTATAATTAAAATTTGCAGCTCGGCATGGTGACGACGTCACAATAAATAATTTCTCATTACTAGTATTTTCCTGATGGACACATTTTTATGTCACCGAGTGAATAAGATCACCGAACATTGTGACTCGTCGTGAGTTCGGCACATGGCTTTTGCTCTGCTTTATTCACCTCTGTAACACATAGTGGATATATTACAGGGGAATGCGTCCCACTCAGATTGCCTCTTCTTAAATACTTCGACATCCCCCTTAATTTTTATTTTATTTATTTATTTAATCATACGACCCTATGGCCATTGGCCTTTTTCAAGGGTCAAAAGAAAAATTAATGATACAGACTTTTACCAAGTATACAATCAACAAAACAACAAAAAAAAACAGAAAAGAAAAATACAATAACATCAAAACAAAAAAAAAATACACTCAACTAATCACATATCAATTTTTTCACAGCCCGTTTAAATTGTCCATAAGTACACAATTCTTTATAATCTTCTTTTAAGGCATTCCAACTATATATAAGTTGATAAATTAGTGCATCTCTTCCAAAACTATGCTTAACCTTTGGTAAAAGCAAGTTATTTCTCCATCGGTAGTTGTAATTAGAAGGCCTAAAATATTTATTTAATTCTTCGCTTATATAAGATTTTTTCTTGCTCACCTTTATTAGTTTAAAACCTTCCAAAAGAACTTGTTTTTTATATAAAGTTTTTATTTTATCAATTTTGATCTGGTTATAAAAAGAAGTGACAGAGGAATCATAAGGCAACTTATATAATGCTCTTATAAAGTTATTTTGTATAACTTGCAATCTATTCAATACAAAAGAAGAAGCTGTACCCCATACAGAAATACCATATCGAAGTTTAGGTTCCATGCAAGCGTGATACAAGCGCAAAACAGTCTCACAATTTAAAAAACTCATTATTCTTTTCAGTATTCCAATATATCTAGATAAAGACAGTGTTAAATTATTTATATGATTGTTCCATCGTAACTTATCATCAATTTCGATTCCTAAATATTTTACAGTATTAACTCTTTGAATACGTTCATTATTTATTCTTACTTGTATATCTTCTAAATTCACTTTTTTGTTTTTATTTGATAAACAAATATAATTTGTTTTATTTTCATTTACTCTTAAGTTATTATTTTCCATGTACTTACTTAATTTAGATAACAAAGAGTTTATATTATTTTCAACCAAATGAAGATTCCAATCTGCATATGTTATAACAATATCATCTGCATACAATATAATATTATTCTCAGGAATAGTCTCTACAATATCATTTATATAAATATTAAAAAGTAAAGGGCCCAAAACGGATCCCTGTGGTACACCTTTGTTAACTCGAAATGGTTTTGATATTGAATTTTTTACCTTAACATAGTACGTACGATTTGATAAATAGGATATTAGCCATTCCAATGGCACACCTCTCAATCCAACTTTAAACAATTTTTGTTTTAATATCTTAATATCAACACTATCAAAAGCCTTGGTCAGATCGATAAACACCGCCATTACAATATTTGCATTATCGAGACTGGTGCTAATATATTGTTTAAGATGAGTCAAAGCATCAATTGTTGAGGCCTCTCTTTTAAAACCATACTGATTTTTACATATAATTTTATTTTTATTGATGAATTCAAAAAATCTACTATAGAAAACCTTTTCAATTATTTTAGTTATACTCTGAATAATAGTAATTGGACGATAGCTCTCCAAGTTCTGTTTAGATCCTTTATCTTTAAATATTGGGATTACGAGATTGTGTTTAAGCTTCTCCGGAAATCTCCCATACTTAAAGGATTTATTAATTAAATAAGATAATGGTAAAGCAATTATATCTGCTATTTGTCTTAAAATAAACATATTTAGCTTATCAATATCCGGAGTGTTTGCTTTTACACTCATAATATAATCAAAAATCTCTTTAGGAGAAGTCTCTTCCAAAACAAAAGAGTCGAGTATACAGCGTGAAGAGGAATATGAGAAAAAATTATTTTTTAACGTTGATGTCACAAATCCTCCCATCTGTCTATAATGTTCAGCAAATATATTACTTATTTTTTCTTCATTTTGAAAAAATTTACCATTATATTTTAATTGATTAATTTGTGCGTTATCCTGTGTTTTAACTGCTTCGATAGGTAGACCTTTAATCTTTTGCCAAAATTCTTTAGAAGAACGTATATTAGAAAATTGTCTGTCGTAGTAATCTTTCTCTTCTAATGTCGTAGTAATGATCCCAAAACGACAATTGAGCCATCTGATAAAAATATTCTGGAGGGTTGCTTTGACGCATTACATTAAACAAAACAATTTTAATGTTATTGTGTTAGACGAACCACAAAGTATTACAGCAATATTACTTATTATTACTTGTCTTAATTTCTGTGAATAGTAAATACTCTCGATTATTCAGAATTAATGGAAGAAAATTGCATTCCGTTTAATCGAGTAAAATTGAAACCCTTTAGGAACGTGGTTCACGAATAATTTAAGATTCTCTATTATTAATGAAGATAATATCTTCACAAATATTTACTGGGGCTTTACCAAGACGACAGAATTTAGCAAAGCGCAATAGTTACGTTTCACATATGTATATTCACATACAGAGCCTGATCACCAAGACGATTAGGGCCTCTTCCTAATGCTCTGGGGTTTCCGGAATTGAATGTAAACAGCCAACTCACTTTGAGTTGGCTGTTTTCAAATTTTTTACAGATAGGTCCATAACCATATTTCACTGAAACAGACCATCAAATCTATGTCATAAATTTATATGGAGCCCAGTTCCTCACAATCCGGTAATCTCCATTGTTGGCCTGACCAAACCCACGATGACTATGTGTAATTTAAAAAGGCCCATTGCTTCTCACAAGAATTATATATTTATAACTGAAGTAAAATAGTGAGATAGGTGAGTATGTAATGTAAATAAAATCTAATTATAAGCAGCAGTTAAATAATGAGAACTGTTGTTTACCAAGATTATATTGTACTTTGGAATGCGTATTTTACTGTAAATAAGACTTATACAACAAATATAAAATTTAATTTAAACTCTTTAAAACTAAATACCAGTTGCTATGCTGTAAATACATTTTACAGCGTAGCATCAAATATATTAAATACATGCATACCAACATTATTCTAAAAATAGAATTTTTATTCAATATGTAAATATCTAATGTAATCGGTAAACAGTAGTTTGGTAAATAGANGAATCGATTAATTTTATGGAAGAAAATCTTTCAAACAGCCATAGTCCGTAAACTGCACACGTGTCGAGCTGTGATTGGCTCATGTATTTAGGAATTTCTACAACGCGAAATTCTTATAAAGTGGAACCTATCTACCGCGTTATAGAAGGGTCGACTGTATTTGAAAATATGTTTGAATTCGGTTACACCTGAAGATGTCCTATTGTATTACGTCGGAAACGTTAGTGTTTTAATTAAACATATCTTAATAGCTTATTTGAAAGCTGATTACCTCTTTTATGGGCCTATTGAAGGTTTTATTTAAAAATATTGAGTATGGTAAAATTTAAAATTATTACTACCGTTATTACTGTATTTATAAATACACACAAGATTCCAACTAATATATGTTACACAATCTAAATACAGTGGTGCCTCGTACTTCGAATTTAATTCATTACAGAATCGTTCTATTACGACGTACCATTGGGTATGTTTCTATTATTAATAACTCTACATCTTGCCCATACATTATTATTATTTCAAATATTTTTATTTTGCATACAAATAAAACAGTTGTATTTCATATGTTTGAGTTTATCACACAGTAATCAAATACTAAAAATAATTTACGTTTTGGTTGTAATAAAGACTCTACTACTTAACAGTTATAGTTATCTTTATCCATGCATTTTCCCACGTTTATATGGGGTCAGCATTATCATCTTTAATATGTCTTTGATAATCTGAAACAGTGTTGTGACTCTACATAGTGTTTAAGAATCAAAGAAGTGTAATAAATTCAAACAGTTGGCGTTCTATCATCTTTATTTAGTTCAGTTGTACATGTTTAAAATATACGTTTCGGGCGTCACATGCCTTTCTTCAGCCAACTAAAATTATATCAAAAAATACATACAGTACGTAAAAGATTAAAAAAGATACAAGTGGTAAAGATTTTATTTATTTATTTTTTATTTACTCCTTTATTTCGTTTTTATTTATACAGTTTTTACTTTTAATGATTCCTACACTTTCTTTAATATTTCTGTTGTGTGTTCCTGTTTCTCTATGTAAAATTTTTATATTATTTTGGTCTATATTACAGTCAGTGCAGTGATCGTGGAAGGCAGAGTTCAGTTTGTAATATTTCAGATCTGCTAAATGTACTTTAAGACTCACCTTTAATTNTAAATACCAGTTGCTATGCTGTAAATACATTTTACAGCGTAGCATCAAATATATTAAATACATGCATACCAACATTATTCTAAAAATAGAATTTTTATTCAATATGTAAATATCTAATGTAATCGGTAAACAGTAGTTTGGTAAATAGAACCTTCCAGGAAGACATTCTATGACATAACAAATTCAATTTATTTCAAATTTTAAATTCAAAAATGCCAATTCAAGTATAGGCACGTAAAAAATATTCGAACAACTACACGCGTTCAGACGTTCGTCATGCGCATTTCTTCAGTGGTATTATCCCCTCGATCACTCGTTGGCTAAATTCGGAATGATTGCGTGAGCAAAGTATTCTATTTCCTTCAGAAAATGGAGAATAAATGCTTCTATTGCTTTTTTAGACCAACTTTTGCCGTAACAGATATGTTAGGAGGGATCTTGGTTCGTCCTTGCAAATGCCGTTCGGTAAGCAAACGTAAGCGAAGGGTTTTGCTGGTTTATTCAGTATGCATTCAGTTATTGTTTTTCGTTCATTTTTGTATCGTAATTGATAGCAACCTTTGTCGATTCCCTGATTACGATGTAAATCTCTTTCGATGCGTTCTCAAAAACAGAATAGGTAAGAGTAACTATACCCTCTTTATTCACATCATATATTTTATTGAGTCTTTAGGAGCAACTCATTGGTATTTTGTACTGAAAACAAGAAAATTCGACAAAATACCTATCACAATACCAAATAATAGAGAGGAAATATTACGACGCATTCAAAATTATCTGCTTGCATTTTCTGGCCTGTTATTTCTGGTATTTACGACAGTAACTACAATGTTTTCAGGTTTCGTTGCCGAAGGTATCGAAGCTGCTTCTACAAAATTCAGGGGTATTGTATGCGCCGTTATTTTAAATATTAGCTTCGTGTACGAGTTAGCTCTGTTGGCGTCTGTGTCAATGATAGGATTTATAATTTTGGTTTCTACGAAAGAAGTATTCGGTTGTCTTTCCGAACGACTATATTTGGCAAATGTTAATAGTAACGAATACAAGATCGATTATATTATGTCCGAACACGCTGAAATTTGTCGATTTTTTGATAAAGTCAATGATACTTGGAAAGATATGTTTGCTTTAGGTTATAGTATTGGTATGCTCATGCTTGGAACCCTGGTTTATAATAATGTTTACAAAACTCTAAATCTAAAAAACCAATGGTTAGGCGATATCGGTTCATTGATTTTGATACTTATCGTACTTTTTGCTTCGTTTGTAATATCACACGTGATTAATTCGGTGAGTTAAACTTATTTATTTAATTAAATTATTAATGTTTTCATTAAAATTCAAACTTTAAATATTTTCAGATCTATGATAACTTTCAAGAAATTCGAAAATTTAATATAAATTTTTCTCGGATAACGCATAAAATTAAGGTTTGATAATCATTGTATTTGCTATTATATTTCAATTTACAGCAAAATATTGAAAGATAAATTTCCAATGTAGCTGATTTGTTTCATGAAATTCTTTCGTGAAAATGCCATCGGATTCAATTGCGGAGATGTGTTGATTATAACAAAAGACATTCCCATTCAGGTAATTGTTTTTAATACAGTAGAACCTCGATTATCCGCCCCCGATCAACCGACCTCTCGGTTAACCGACCGTCCTAGTCGGCAAATTTCAAATGTCCGCTAGTGATGTGGCGCTACAATATTTGGCTATGTCTTGGCTACTTTAATATTATTTTTACGTGTTTTAGCTGGCAACACTCATTCGACCATGAAAGGGAGCCAGTATTTAAACGAAGCTTAATTTTCTAATTTTTAACGATACAATAGCGACGATTATTATTTTAAAAAATTTTTGTTAGGCTTAACATCGATGAAAATTCAACGCAAAATAGGTTAATAGCGATATACTAATATACTAATTACATGGGATATAATAATATACTACACTAAATGGATTTTTTCATACTTTTCGGTTATCCGACTTTTCAATTATCCGACCAACCCCAGTCCCCCATTAGGGCGGATAATCGAGGTTCTACTTGTAATTTAGTCTACAATGTTCAGCTTAATTCATTTGAAACGCCAGCCGTTATTGTAAATAGTAATATGTAAATTTCATTATTATCTTTACATAGATGTAATTGCATATAGAAACAAACCAGATATTTGTTAATATTCAAACGATATTGCAGTACTTTATTAGGCTGTAATATGGCTACTTACTGAGATACTGCTAGAAATAGAGATTGCTATCATTTGGTGTTAAATTGAATCAAGGATATTAAATTCTTATTTTTACTAATTATAGAAATTATTAATTATAAAATGACGATTCATTTTTGTTAACATCTTAACAAAATCATTTGTTTGCGGTTCAAACTGTAGAGTCTACGTTATCAAACAGAGAAACAAGCCAGATGCTCACTGTGCCACAACCAACACAGTGTGTTAAGGTCCTCCGTTACAAATTCATGCAATCTGTGTAGCTTGTTCAGATGTTGCACAAATTGGAGGAGAAGGAAGACTATCGTACCCTCAAAGTAATGTGTCATGATCTTTCGAAGGCATGAGGACAAGAGGATTCTAATGGTACTTTCGTATATGTTAATTCTGTCAAGCATGCGCAAATCATATCGATGATTCTTTCTATGGTCAGCATAATTCACACAATGATGTTATTATTATTTTCACAAAAATAGATCTAATCAATCATCCTGTATTTTACATGAAATGGTTGCAACCATCGAAATTACGTAGTATCTTACTAATTAGGTAGCCATATTATAGCACAATAAGTTTTCGCTATTAACGTTTTATTTTATTTATTGTGAAAATTGAAAAAATCATTTTAATCCTACCCATTATCAATTCGGCCGGATGGTGAGAGACTGGACCAGACATTTTCTGTAATGTGTAATTATTCCCTATATCAAAATTCCATTTGATGCTTGCTCGGATCTCCCAGCTTCTTTTATACCCATAAATTTATATCATAATACAGCTCTTTGTTTTATTATTTCTACTTTCAGACGGTCCGTGCATTGTATAATACGTTCAATAGCTTAAAGGGAATTCACGATATCATGAATGGTACAAATGTCAACTGCAATGAAACAATCCAAGTTTATACGAAACTCAACATTGGCTTGCAATCTTAAGGATTGCAGGATAGACAAGAGAAGGAAATCTTAGGATAATGAATGATTTTTTAAGAAGAACAGTCAAGACAAGTCTCATAAGCAAGAAAATGGAGGAAAGTACGAGTAGATTAAAATGATTTAGACATGTGAATAGAATTGAGGACTATGTTCAAGAAGATTGGGAACTTGAAAGTGATAGGGAGGAGGAATCGGAGAAGACATGAGCTGAGATTGAGGAGAGAGAGTGTCCTGAATAGAGAGAAGTGGAGAAGACGGATTAAAGATAAAAATGCTTACCCCATATAAACGTGGGAAAACGCACAGATAAAGAAAAATTGCAAATTTTAAGTAGTAGAGTCTTTATTACAACCAAAGCGTAAAAAATAATTTTTAGTATTTGATTACTGTGTGATAAAGTTTAACATATGAATTACAACTGTTTATGCAATATACAAATATGTTAAATAATATTAATGTATGGGCAAGATGCAGAATTATTAATAATAAAAACATGCCCAGTGGTACCTCGTAATGCCAACGCTTCCGGAATGAATTAAATTCGAAGTACGAGGCACCACTGTATTTAGAATGCGTAACAAATATGTTAATTGGAATCTTGTGTGTATTTATAAAATACAGTAATAACGCATTTTAAAATTTTACCATACTCAATATTTTTAAATAAAACCTTCAATAGGCCCATAAAAGAGGTGGTCAGCTCCCAAATAAGTTATTAAGATATGTTTAATTAAAACACTAACGTTTTCGACCAAATACGATATACGCCATCTTTAGATGTAACCGAATTTGAACGTATTTTTAAATAACTTAATATTTAAGAAAGACTATATTGAGGTCAAAAGAAGGAATTTAGCTATCAGACTTAAGGAGAACAAATGTGACATTAATAAAGAACACTGCAACACAATCAAAGTATGACACAAACAGAGGACTCTGTAGTTAAATGGAATAAAATGACTATGCTCAGGCCATGCCTTTTCCATCATTAGCATTGCACGAAGAAAAAATTAAAATCTATTAAAGTAAATTAAAGGATGGTTGTATTAATGCTAGAGATGAGATGGACTTGCTTCTGCTTGGAAATTCTACATAAAAAAAAAATACTGTACAGTATATAAAAACTCTTAGCCAGCACCTGACCTTATACTTGGATGCATTTTTATGTATTTTGTTTTATTTTATTTATTATATTATCTTTTATTATTTATTTGTTAATCTATGTACATATGAGAATGTTTTTTGTTTGTTTGTTTGTTTGGATGTTTGTTCGCTATACACGCCAAGGCTGTTTGACCAATTGCTACGAAACTCGTCTTTTTACGTGTCCTTAACTTAGATGATGTCATACGTTCGACCTCAAAATATTTATTGAATTATTATAAATCAATCAATTTCTATCTCCATTCGATTTGTTGGTTTACACGTAGCGCCGTCTATTGACGAAAAATTTAACAAAAATAATAATCTTATAATCGAGATGGATTGATAATAGAAGTTAAAAGTTGAAATTTAGTACACACGGTACGTCATGAGAATGTACACTAAAAAGGGAATTTTCGAAACTTTTCCTACCGCGGAGAGGGAGAAAATGAAAGCTTAGACCAGGAACACATATGCGTAAAATTCGGCGTAAAATCTAGCATAAAACAAAAAGCGTAAATTTTTTTGAAATTTTGGCTAAAAAAATAACTGAGCATGTCTACGTTTTATGCCAAAATTCCGCCAATAAAGAGAAGTCTTTTTTGTGACGTCAAAGTAAACATATGGATTTTAATTCCAGGGCTGTGGAGTGACGTAAAAATCTACCGTTTCCGACTCCGACTCCGACTTTTCCTTACCATCCGACTCCGACTCCGACTCCGACTCTGTTTCATATACATAACAAGTTGGTAAGTAAAAAGGGAGTCGGAGTCGGCGGATTTTTTGACGACTCCGACTCCGACTCAGGCCAAAACACCAAAACTCCACGACTCCGACTCCGACTCCACCGCCCTGTTTTATTCTAATAATAGCGGTATTGTCTGTTATCGCTACAATTGTGACGGTCTCCAAGAAACGAAAAATAAATGAAATAAAAGACTTTATTGAATCCTTTCGACCATATCAGTATCTTTTTTATGACAAAAAGTGACATGTATAAATGACACTGTATTCAAATAATATATATATATATATATTACTGGTATATTAAAATTTAATATACAAATTTATTATATTTATACATAAAATATTTATAATAATAATAATAATAAATAGTAGTTATGGAATAATAATGAATAAAATAAATAAATAATTTTAAATACTAATGATTGAGTATTGCATCATGTAAATCCTGACCCTAGCGACGAATAGAGGAATTAATCGTATTTGTAAGCCACGTGTTTTGTTGATCGAAGTTGTTTTTCTTTTATACTGAATTGATCAGTGATGGTAAGAATATAATAAAATGAATCACTTAAAACACTTCTTCAAATAATGTAATATTTATTTTATAGACAGCAGTTGAGAGGAAAGGAACTTTTAAAGTTAGAGCTTTACAGGATATTGAGAGAAGAGTACAACTAAAATGGGATGAAGCACATATTTTTGAGGAAGATGCTCCTCATCCTCATTCTAATCCAATGCCAGAAAGTTATTTTGTTACTTTTCCCTATCCATATATGAATGGAAGACTTCATCTTGGACATACTTTTTCTCTGTCAAAGTGTGAGGTAAATCAATGATTACAATATTTTACCAAATTATTCCAATTAAATGTTGTTATATCAAAAAATACTTTCTCTTAATGTTAAATTTATTTAATTTACATGAGTAATTTACATTTTACTCATGTAAATTGACATATTACATTACATATTTTGACAGCAAAGATGCATTTGACAGCTTTTACATCTCAGATAAATTTAATTAAACTAATGCATTCAATAGAAATAACTAATTTTTTTTTTTTATGTGCTCAATAGGGTAAAGAAAGCACTATTTCCAAGCACTACGTTATTCAATAATGAATTATTACTCAACCAATTACATATGAAAAAGAATATATTTAATATATACTTGAATAAAATTAAAACTAGAACAACAAACACATAAGATCAAAATACACAAACACAAAACATATGTCAAACATTCCTTTTAAATAATTACCCTTATAAAATTATTTTAAAATGGTTAAAAGATATATGAAAAAGTCTAAAAACTATTCAATCAGTTTAATACATTATTAGCCCCAATCTTAAACAATATAGTATATAAGGCAATAAATAAAAATAATTATGTTCCTAATGGTAAAAATATAATGTTATATAATGTTAAACAAAAATCTAATATATAAATTATAATGTAATTGTGTTCTGGCATTCTACTATGTGGGAGAATAAATGCATTCTATTAAATTTAAATTTCTCATAGAATTCTATAGGCTAATATTAAATTATTGTAACCCCTCGTTTTACTTCAAGGAATCAACCATACGTGGATGAGAGGAAGTTTTTATCTGTCTTAAATGTGTAAAATGTTGTAAAATTTTATTGTAAGTTCCTTGTTGTTGATTTCCTTCCCTCACTTTCAGATAAATTGTGTTAGGATATTATTTTAAGTAAGAAATATTTTTTGAATTCAGATTATAATATATATTCAAAGAAAAATTGTGTTAACAGTACAACTAAAAAAGTCGACAATACAAGTAAATGTAAAGAGCAATTGTGTAATGATAATTAGTAAGATGATCTTTTGTAATGTGGTACTTTGGTGTTTTTATGATATTAAGTACAACTAGGAGATATGAACAGAAGAACACCCGAAATGCTTTTTCATGTTGCTGATAACAATAAAGCCTAAATTCTTTCCTGTTTGTCTCCGTTTCTCCTGCATGATATGTGCATTTAAAAAGCAACACTATAAAGCTTTAAATCCTTCAAAATGAATATGTTTAAGCTATCTGTACCATGTAGTGGAAGCCATATTTACTGTTGTTGATGTTCCCTTCAATTTCTCCCTTGAGTGCACTTGTGTGAAAACTAAAACAAAGCATCAAGAAAGTTTATAAGTTTCAAAAAATTGGTTTTATTTAAGTTTTTGTGGAGAGAAAGCTTAAATCTAGTAACTGCAAAAAAACATCATATTGCAAACATTTTACATCAGGGATGGACAACCCACAGTCCTGACTCTCATGTGGCCCTTATTAGATCTTTGTGCAACCCATGTTGTACAAAATATTTCAAAAAATGTATATGAAACAAAATAAAAAATTAAAATACCAACGACGAACAGTCTGTAGTCATACTAAATATCAAGCATTCGCCTGCTTTGTACACGTCCAGTTTTAACCTGATTTCACTGACACTTGTGTAGAGTGTTAAAGTTTCAAAAACATTTTCTATCATTGCATTTAATGTTTTGGTTTCTTTGCAAATTATATACTATTAATTTATATTATATTATTCGTTAGCTGAAAAAACAAAATACGGATTTTTATGCCACCATTTTGAAATAATAGACTTGCGAAGTAATTTTGATTTGAAAGATACTTTTGAAGAAGAAATCCGTTAGATTTTTATAAAACTTTTATGAAAGAAAATGCATTTTCCAACATAAGGAAGTATGCAGCAAAAAAATTCAATTGTTATTTTCTACAACTTATGTATGTGAACAGTTTTTTGCTGCAATGAATTTAGTAAAAAGTGAAACAAGAAGCTGGCTAACAGACTGGCATCTCAGAAATAATTTAAAACTAGTGGTGACTAATATTCAACTTAATATTTTAGATATATTACATTCACATTAGTCATATTAAGTGTACAGTACCCAGGTTAATTTATAATTGTATATAAATAAATAATTATGATTTACCTGCACTTTGTTTTCCCCTCTCTCTCTTATGTGCAGCCTGCATCAGTTCAAAAGTTTTAAATATGGCCCTTATGTAGAAAAACATTGCCAATACCTGTTTTACATGTGCCAGAACCTTACATTGATAACTCAAATCTTACATATAAACAAAAGTGGGTAGAGTTTCACTTATGATGCCCTATGGCAACTAGTTCTGCTACTAACTACACCAGCATTCAAATAAAACAAATTTCACTCATTGTTAACATATTTCTAATTTTTTTTAATAAAGAATTGAATGAGCAGGGCTTGGCTGATAGGAATTTTTTATGTTTTCTTAACACTTTGTTGACAGCCTTCCTCTTACAATGTTCATGTTTCTTGGGGGTAACTTTCACGGCCAAAGGAGCAGTTTCTGGCTCTTTCCACATTGGACACAACCCGCTCCTGTGTACAAGGATGTTCTCCTGCATTTGTAAATGCAGGAGAACGTTTTGAGGTTGCTAATAATCCACTGCAGACTGGATTTTGACCTGTCATTTACTTTATACAAGAAACGCAAATTATCTTTGTGGCAAATTTTTCCAACAATCCACCTGGTACCTCTCAACAATAGCCCATTTTCATTCTTCCGTTTGTTCACAATGGTCTCATCAATTTCAGCAACCTTTCCAGGACCACTGATTTTCATTATAGTTAAATTAAACAAGAAACCATTATTACGTGCCATATAAAACTTACCCAGTCCACAGCTATTTGACACATCACACCCATCACTGAACGTGCAGCAGTCAACATATAGACTATGCAAATTAGATGCAAGACAAACGACAAAATAGCCCCAAAGAAATTTTTCCAAACTTGCCTGTAAACATACCATGGAATGGTGAGGTATTTAACTTGCATATATGGCAATGAAATCACATTCCTTCTAAAACATTAATTTTCATTGACCTTTACACTTCTCACAAACTGCATGCAGAGGTTGCAATCCCAACTTAATGTCAGACAAAATTTTCTTATAAACATCAATTTTAAGAAATTTTGGAAAAATGCAAGAAGTGCATTGTTTCCAAGAAAACTGTTTAACATTTTCAAAAGCCTCTATGATGATAAAAAAAAAATGCAAATATAAACCCATGTGTTGAAACACACAAAAACAAAACAACTATTTTAAAAACAAGGCCAAAAACTACACTACTTAAAATGTGAAATGATTTGAACGTAATCTACATACCAGAATACATGTCGTAATAATTTTAGACTATTGCAACATCTATTATAACTATTCTAAGACTCATGTCAAGATTTTGGAAGTACGCCATAGTGCTCCATAAGTAAAATTCTATCCAAAAGGGATTCTAATATTTACAAATTAAATTTTAAAACAATAATATAACTTTATAATAGTTTAAAGTTATATTACTTTTAAAAATTACATACTTTACATATATACATTTAAATTAGTTGTCATTTATAAGAACAAATAATGCAACATATTTACTTCTGTTTTACAGTAAGCGGGTTTTTAGACATGTCAATAAATATATTTTAACTTTAACTTTTTTTAAGAATAATATTTTTATAACTTTCTATGGAAGACTGGTCCCTAATTATGTTTTATAATCATGAACAAAACAGAAAACTCCAAAGATAGAAAGTTGATGAGGTGCAAACCCATTATCAGCTGTCAGTAGTTTTATCCACTCAGCTACTGTTGGGCAAGAATTTTATAGATCTTTCATCTATCAAGCATGGTATAGCAAGCCCTGTTACTGCATAACAATCCTCCATGATGCAAGGTAGGGTTTAATGGAAAGAAAGAAATCATGCTTTTTAAAGAGACAGGCAAGGAGGAATGTGACATACCCAAGGAAAGGGATGGATACCCATATACTGTACTTATGTTATCAGTCTTAACCACTAGGAGGAATCTGTGAATAATGCTTTCATAACCCTTGCTTTGTTCTGGTTGAATTTTTCTAATGTATAACCTGTCTTCCTAAGTGCAATGCTAACAATCTCTAGTTCTTTATCGACAAATTGTTGTGTGGAGGGGTACAGGAGTTGCTCTGATGAACATGTTTATGTATTGTGGAAGTTGAAAGAAGTTAACAGAATGATCATGAAAAGCAAATCAAATTTATGATACATTTCAAAACTGAAGCTCATGAGGGTTCTATGTATAAGCAGATAAAAAAAGGACAGCAGTTATTGCTACAGTCACATTTTATAATAGAAGATATTGAGAGATGGCAAGATGATAAATGTTGTACAAGTAATTCTAACTCTTGACGAGGGACCCTCAAGGTTAATAGGGCACTGTCCACATACTATATATAGAGACAGGATAATGAGTCGTAACAGATGCAGCAAAGATCTTGTTCTCTATATCTCACATAATGAACTCTGCTAAGATGGCCAATAATGGTGAACCTATGAGTACCCCATTCTTGCAGATAGCACTGTTGCTAAGCTGAAAGTAATTGTGTTGTGGTGCTAAGTAGAGCAGTTCCTGAATGGCTAAGGCTGTATTTTGTTCAGCATTGTTGTTCTTGAGGAGTAAGTGTCTCAAATGTTGGAAGAGTATAAAGCGACCATATCAATCTCAATCTTGTAGAAGCAGTACGAGGAAGATTATAGTCTTAGCGGTTTTTAGATCATTAATTTATTTAATTTTATTACGTCTTTCGTAAGTAACCTTTTGAAAATGTCTATTACAATCGAACCTAATTCGGGATGTAAGAAGACGATTATACTTGTAGATTCGGGAAATATTTAATGGCAAAAGCTAGAAAAACATATATATATATTTCATTTTATTAACTGTATTCGAATTTANTAATTTTATTTAACTTTATTTAGTAAATTAATTCAAAATATTATAATTTAGAGATTTGATTGCCTATTAATCCTTAATTTTGTAAATTATAGAACCATGATCCTGAAAATCGTTAATATGAATTTTCGATAAAGCAAACTAACTAATGTTTCCCTAGTGACTCATATTAATGCTAATTGTCAGTAAAATTTTCTTCTGACTCATAACATAAATATTGTTTTAAGGTATTTTTTATATTGAGTCAGAGGACTTTAAAGATATTCTCTGACTCAACATGCTTATAAATAAATATAAATTATGTTTATAAAACGTATTTTTAAAATATTTTCTGATTCAACAACTACTTTATAAAAATAATTATTATAAAATAATTAAAGAAATATATAATAAAATATATGCTTCTACACAAAATTATACAAGTTTCCTTTATTTAAGATTACACAGTTATGCAGACTATAATTACATACAATTAAAACTAATAACAATTAAATTAAAAAAAAACATACTCTATGAACCAATGATGGTGTGTGATGGAAAAAACAAAAGGGAAAGTTTACCACTAACATTTTCAAACTCCCCTGAGTTCTTATTCAGGTGTTAAATGGAATTTCTGATGGAACATAAAACATTTGAATTATGAAAATTTGAAGAATCGTTCAAATCCGACACTTGAGAAATATTTGTTATGTTGCACATGCGCATTCGTATGGCTAGCAGATCTTGATATTTAACACCTGAAGAACTCAGGGGAGTTTGAAAATATTAGTGGTAAACTTTCTCTTTTGTTTTTTGCGTCACCCACCGATTATGGGTTTATAGAGTATTTTAATACATCCCAGTGTTGTGTGCTGTTGTTTAATAATTATATAATTTTATAAAATGCTTATATAAATGTTGATGTTTTAAATCAGTGATTCCTAAACTTTTTTGAGCCACCATCACCTTGGTTCCTAAAACTTATACCCAACATCCAACCGTTTTCCCTTGTGTGAGAATTGGTTGGAAATATTCATAGCAAAGCTTTTCTCCTCACACTTTGTTTCCTTACCGTACATCGTTCTCAACATCTGGAAACCATTAAATGCAATGTTTCTTCTTACCCATTTTAACAGAGGAAAGGGAAAAGTTGTCAGTGATCTGAACCCTCACTTACAGTCACCATTCGGTCAGGTCCCTGCCTCCAGCACCCCCCACTTTCCTTTCTTTTTGCTCCCCTAAATTTACTCATTGCCCATAGGGCAGTAGTGTACACTTTAGGAACCACTGTTTTAAATGATGTACAATTGAACCTATCTCAAATCTCACAGGAAGGAGAAAATAGGTTACAAGATATAGAGGTTCGTACACAATAAATAATAATACATTTGATTGGAAGTAAGGTATTTTATTAATACTATAGCAAGTACAGTACATACCTATATTAGGTATAAATAAAACATTTTTCACATACCTTAACAGAAATACTTTGTAAATAGTTTCTGATTCTCAACTTTCTTCAACTAATCAAATGCAAGCCAAACTCATAGTCAATATCTGGAGACTCTAAATAGTTTACAATTATGAAATCCACAAATTTTACACAGTTGTTGGGGAAAAAAGGAAATGTAAACAACTCCGATAGAAAAAATGCTCTTAGTGAGAATTATATCATAAGTCACCATTTGTTATAACAATTAGATGAGAAAGTTGACACATAGGTGTCAAGAATGCATTGTTATTGTCAACATGTGATGATCATGTGACTCCTTTCCCACAACAATCAAATAAAAGGTCAAGGCAGATCAACCCAAGGAAGTTATTTCTGTACTTGTGCCAATCAATCTCCATGCAAAAGGACTTGGATCCCGTCAGAGAAGACATTCAGCGGCTGCAGACTCTTTCATACTGTCGGCATCCGCCATACTTCAGTCTATACCGTCCATTCTTGCATAGACGTACTGTATGTTAGCACTCTGCGAACACTCTCTCCCCAGAAGCAGGATTAGACGTAGCTAACAGCTGCCCTTTGTATTACTTGCATTTAACCGTATTTAACTTGAGTATTATTTTCGCCTCCTGTAACTTAGATTTAGTTATTCAATAAATGTTTTGTTTATTTGTTAAACCTGTCTCCTGTCGTTGAAAGGATGCCTGCTAGCTTACTGACGCACTCCCCACTCACTTTTTGCCCTCCTAGCCATCCAACAACTCGAGACTGGATTTTACCAACCCATCAGATTAAGTGGTCAGGAGGGATTAACCCCTGACCCCTTGCTTGTCTCACACAATAAGTCCATGACTGCCAAATATCTGCCTACAGAAAGGCTCCAGAACTCTGCAAGATACAAAAAATGTGTTACCATTCTAACACGGAATTAACATTACAAAAGATTCATGGTTTAGTAATATCTAAATTAATATACTTTACAAAGAAATAATAAACAGTATTTGTTATTTTTTAGTTGTAAAATTAATGATTTAACATGATAGTTCACAATATGTAAAAGATACTATGTTTAACAAGATACCAGGCATTAACCTATGCAGGAGAAGAAATAAATTTCCAGATAAAGAGGTTTTTAAGATAAACATGTTTGAGATAGACAGGTTCAACTGTATTTGTTAATATTTTGTTATTGATAAATTAATGAGAAATATGTTTGAAAAATAGCATCTAAATAATATAAGAATTTTATGTCCTTTAACTGTGACCTCAATATCTATAAACACAATGAGGATAGTCATTTCACACACATAATTTTCATGGTGTAATAGTATGAAAACTATTAAGTATTTGGTTTTCCACATCCAACAATTAAGTATTTACATCTAAGGATTCACAAGGACTTGGGTATTTTTTATATGTTTTAAATTTCTCTGTTATAAACCTGTGCAATGGTCAGGTGTAACAAGCAAGTTCTAATATAAACAATAAATTAAGATAGAATTATCATATTTTAATTTATTATTTATTCATTAGCAGATTCAAATAAAATTATAATTCGCAATTATTATTTAAAACACTCTAATTGCATAAAACATTCAATGCTGTCTTCTCAATCTAGATCATATTACCTTAATATTGACATGATATTATCTTGACACCTATATTTTTGTAAGAAATAAGAATTGACAAATTACATTAATAATAATATAATATAATGTCATTGTATGCAATGATAGATCTGTTTGAGAACATATGCAATATAGACTACTGTATAATGAATGTAAGTGTTGATCCTGAGATTCTCCTTGGGAAGATGTATCATTGTCTATTGGAAATGATACCTTACATCAGTTTTTACACATTATTTATAAGATAAACACATGAGAACATATGAACATATCAATCCAAGTGCCTAAATAAATGAATAGTGTGTGTCTACATCCTAGCAGACGAGTCTCTCTCTCTTTTCCTTCCAATTCTCCCTTCTAAGGGATTCTGTGTGATGACCTGCCAATCCCAAATCAAGCCAGTAGCACTACTTCATATTAGTGCTCACCTGGACACCTGACTAATTGCACTAACTACATTTGAAGATCTTTGACCCCTGTAATAAAATCGCTCCAGTCAAGCAGAAAACCAAATCTACTAAGTCAACCTGACAACTATCTGTAAACTAATTTTTATTACTGTAATTCAGAAATCATGTACTTATTCAAAGCAAACTTTAAGTCATTTTCTACATTTTGAAGTAAGTAATGAACTCTGCATTGGCATTTACTTTTATGTAGTTTATTTTAGCATTACAAAGCCAATAAAGTAAAATAAATAGTTTTTATGACTGCAATTTTTTCTATAGTAAGAGCTGAATAAATGAAAAAAAAATTGAGATTATTTTAAACTTGAGTAATTTATTAAAAGGAAAATATGTATTTCATGTTAAAAATTTAATTTCAGAAATAATTACATTCTTAACTCTGTGTTTTATCATTAATTACTGCTTTATTTTTAATTTTTAATAAATAATAATTTATATTTTGTTGGAAAAATACTAAATACTATATTTTGTCATTTCAGTTTATTGTTGGCTTCCAGCGATTAAAGGGGAAAAAATGCTTATTTCCATTTGGTTTTCATTGTACTGGGATGCCCATCAAAGTAAATGATTTTAAATTATTACATATTTACTTAAATGATAATATATATGCAGCTTCCAAAATGAATGCTACCATTTTAAATCTTAAATTACAGTAATTATGTTAATTATTATCTGATGTACACCAATTGATAGAATAACTGTCCGAGTTTAATCTCATATCTGCATTCAAACATCTTGTTGTCTATTACCTTTAGGAGGTACCATAAAAGAAAATGGCAACTTCACAATTGAGAAGGCATTTTTATGTTCTGTTCTCAGAGGTTCACTCATCATTGTGCAACATGAGTAAACTGTAGGAGCTGTAAAATTGTGGCTGCCTTGGGAGAAGTGAAAAGGATTTGCCATAGCAAGCTTAGACAGAATTTGAGCATCAGCTTGATGTGTGTGGCATAACAAGAGGCACCCACATTGAGAAACTGTAATGGCAAATGGGAGACTTGTATAATTTTCCAATATTTTAATATACATTACAACATTCTGAATAATAATTAATATAATTATAACAATTTAATTGGTAGCATTCTTTATGGAAGACCCCCTTGTATATAGTGTATGTATATATATATATATCATATCTATACTGTATATACATTAATGTGCTGCTTTTTACTTTCTTATTACTTAATTGATTTCTTTACAATGATATAAAAGTAATCAAGGGATTTGATTCACTAAATGTGTTGAAAATTTATCCAAAATACAGAAATATTTCAAATATAATCTAGAACTGACTTAATTAAGATTAACAAAATGTGCTAATTAACTCACCATTTCCTTTCCTCAGTATTTTAAAGCCTGGAAACCTAACCTAATTCATGTTTAAGAAGCTATAGACAATGGTTCAGATTTATTAGCATCGTAGGAAATGTAGTCTGTACTCTATCTTATGAGAAAATTATATAAACTTTAAAATTTTCTGGGGTTTAACTTTATTGGCACTGGAACAGGAGGTTAAGGGGACTGTTAGGATGTTCAATAATCTTCAATTATACTAAGATTTAAAATTTAATTAGTAACAAAAGCTTAAAAGGAGTAATTATGTTTAATTTTGTTAACAATCTCCATTTAAAAATATTTGTTTAAAAAATACTATGGCACTCACTCAGAGTTAAAATTGTGTGGTACCATCTATTATGAGATGTTATTAAAAAAACAACTTTTTTATTATTAATTATTATAAAGTGTCAAAAAAGACTTAATGTTGAGGTTAGAGACAAGTTTCTAAAAATATTGTAAATCCAAAACATGAATAACACCTCGTCTTTTTACGAACAGTTCAGACTGCAAACAAATTGGATAACGAACACTTTCATGAAAAATTTTTATGTTCAGTTAACAAACACTTCACAGAACAAACACAAAAAGAAGCAATGTAAAACAACGAATACCGATTGGTTTTCCCTTGTTTCCAGGTAACAATTCAAAACCTTTCAGATCACGGGAGACATCGACATCGATGCTCAACCCGATACCAATCGGATACTATTCCTCCGAACTTTGAAACTCTCCACTGCAATTCCAGCATTTTGTTTACTTTTCTGACAAAAAATTTTTTTATAGTCTTTGTGAGACTGTCAGGCTTGTTAAGTTTTGTGTTGGTTTTTTTTTTTTTTTCTAAAGGTGAGAGTTTAACTGTCCTATTGGATATTCATTAATGTTTTAACACCAAAATTTTGAATTTCATTCAGGCCTCACATTTACATAATTCTTTCTTGTGCTAGTTGATTTCCTTTTTCTGAATTTTTGTGAGTGCTTTTCTGAACTTCTTATTTCAAAAGAAATTGATAATATTATGGAGCCTAAAAAGAGTGGCGTGTCAAGAATCGTGCTCACCATAGAAATCAAGCAAGAGATAATAGCCAAGGTAGAGAGTGGGCAGAAGGTGTTTGATGTTGCCAGGCAGTATGGCTTGAACAGATCTACAGTAGACACAATCATAACTAAGAAAAATATAATCAATAAGACTTGAGCAGCTAAAAGAGTAACAAAAATTACATCTGATATACAAAGATGTGCCATCCATAAAAAAATGGAGAGATTGCTTTTAATTTGGATAAAAGAAAGGGAAATGAAAAAAGATGTAACTAGTATGACTATCATTCAAGAGAAAGCTAGAGAAATTTTTGAAGAACTGGAGAAACAAACTCCACATTTGTCACATGAGGAGATAGAATTCAAAGCTACTTCTGGATGGTTTTCAAAGTTTAGAAGGAGAACTGGCATTAAACATGTGGTAATTCATGGTGCTAGTGCAGATAAAGAAGAATCTGAGAAGTTCTCTTAAATTTGAAGAATTCTTTAAAAAAAGGATATTGTCCACAAGAAATTTTCAATTGTGATGAAACTGGTTTATTTTTCAAGCACATGCCAAACCATATCTACATCACAAAAGACGAAAAAATATTCCTGGTCATAAACCCATGAAAGACCGATTGACATTACTTTTGGAAGCTAATGCTAGTGGTGATATGAAACTTATCCTGCTTCTTGTCAATCATTCTGAGAACCCTAGAGCATTAAAAAAAATCCATAATTAAAGAAAGACTGCCAGTGATATGGAGATTGAATAACAGGGCATAGGTCATGCAGGCTTTTTTCACAAAATGGCTGTTTGAAGTTTGTGCTCCAAGCACAAACTTCAAACAGCCATTCATTGGTCTGAAGGTAATCCTTGAGGATTACCTTCAGACCAATGAATTGCCATTGAAAGCACTGTTGCTATTAGACAATGCACCAGAACACCCAAAAGATCTTGAAGATAATTTGCTGGAAGACTTTCCCTGGCTGACAGTTCAGTTTCTGCCTCCAAATACCACTTCATTGATTCAACCAATGGATCATGAGGTTATTGCAGGTTTCAAGAAATTGTACATTCAAGCACTGTTTCATCAGTGTTTTGAAGCATGTCAGTTCTCCTCAATAACATTAAAAATGTTTAGGAAAGAAAAATTTGATATTCTTGAAGCTATATGGCTCATTCAAAATGCATGGTCAGAAGTCACTCAATGACAGTTGAATTCTGCTTGGCGAAAGCTGTGTCTCTCCTGCATTCAAGGAGATGGAGATGATGACCCTGAAATTATGGATGAAATTGTGACAACTGCTAGAGATCTGGAATTGCAGGTGAATGAAGATGACATTGAAGAGCTCATAATGGAACCTGAAACTGATCTGATGACAGAAGAACTCCAACAACTCTTGAATGAAGAACACCAAGAAACTCAGTGAGATGTGTTTTCTTCTAAAAAAGAGAAAGATGAAAGAGGATCAGTGCCAACATCTGCTGTTAATTAAAGATCTTTTGAAGAAGTGGGAGGATGTCAGAACAACGGTCTTAGAATAGCATCCAAACCAGGTTGAGATTAATAGGCTTGGGGATTTCTACAGCAAAAATGCTATTAATTACTTCTGAAAAATCCTGAAGAAGAAAGAAAAGCAATCGAGATAGGACAGATTCTTTAATCTCTCACAAAAGGAAAAACTACATGAGTGATAAAAATGCAAGACTGTCTATATGGATAGTTACCTAAATATATAAAATTACTTGTCCTGACTGATTGACTGACTGGGTGACCGATTGATTCATCATCGCCCAGGGCAAACCACTGAACCTAAAGAGGTGAAATTTGGTACACAGTTAGGGTACATCATGAAAACGCACACTAAGAAGGGATTTTTCGAAATTTCCCTGCAGGGGCGAGGGAGAGCATTAAGGCTTAACCAGAAAAACAGCTTCTACTGTACTATTTTAGATGCGATTTTTTGTTTTTAAGTGCGATTTAGTAAGGTATTTGATGGGAATGCACACTAAGAAGTGATTTTTCAAAATTTCCCCGCAGGGGGAGAGGGAGAGCATTAATGATTAACTGGAAGAATGGCTTCTATTGTACTATTTTAGATGCAATTTTTTGTTTACAACTACGTTTAGTCTTCATTGAGTACTTAGGTGTATTAAATTGACAACATTTCTGACATTGTTATAAAAATTTTTATATATTTTGATTTTTTAGCCAGATGTTTGAACTGTTTTAAATTCGAATTTGTTATTGCATATTGGTTCGATTATAGAACGATTGTAAACATTCCAGAAAATTGATCAAATTGAAAACAGTTTGTTTGATTCTCAGTGGTAGGTGTTATAACAATTACTATGGTAGTTTAAATACTGAATATAAATGATATTTGCTTGCAAAATTCATGCGGGCGAAGTCGCGGATAACAGCTAGTTATTACATATAAATAAACATAGTAAGAAAGTATATAATTCTTTATTTATTTTTGGGGGTCTCTAGAATGAATTAACCAAATTCCAAAAAATCTGTGGTAAATCGATAATTGGTTAACAAACAATTCGAGTAGCAAATAAAGTCTTGGAACAGATTATGTTCGTTAACCAATCATCCACTGTATAAATTTATTGCTAATATACGATCATTTTCTGTTTTTATTTTTAACTTTCAAAGGCCTGTGCAGACAAATTGAAATGGGAAATGGAGGAATATGGCTACCCACCTAAATTTCCTGATAACGAAGATAATGAAGAGCAACCAAAATTAGATGATATATCTCTTAATAAATCAAAAGGAAAAAAGGTAATTATTATTATTATTATTTTATTATTAAATAGTTAGAAGTTTTAAACTTTTAAAACAAAAGTTATTTATGATATCTAGTAGCAATTAATTGATTTTCAATTAAAATTCTATTGATGTTAATATAATTTTCATTCCAAAGATTAATTTTTAAATTAATTATCACAAAAATACTACTAAAAATATAACTTTTTAACTTGTAAAATGTATTACTTAGAAAAATATTTACAATTTTAAATTTCAAATATAAATCATGATAATAATTTATGATAATCTTTATCTTCTTTTTAATATTTATCAACAGAACTTATCACTATCATCAAAGTGCATTTTACATTATAGGACCCTAAAGCCAGAATGTTCTGAACCACATCCTTTCTATATTTAAACTCATTGTTTGAACATTAATCAGAAATCAAATAAATGTACAGTACATCTATATAGTTCTGTTTGCTGCAACTTTGTGCATGCTTCTGCAAGAAATAGTTTGCAAAAACAGTACTCTTTCATAACAGTTGTAGCAGTTTGCTGTGAAAAATTTAAGTTTTGCCACCATTTCACCAGTTTTAAATTTTTTTGTCCCTTCAAATTGTTTATTGCCATTAGTTTTACTTACTAACTAATGCAGATGCTAATATCCTTATCAGTTTGATGTCTGGAAAGCAAAAGTAACGTGTTAAACTGTCATTTGCAAGGAGAGGGCCTGATGTTTGGGTCTTTGATTCGAATGACACTTGGTAAGCACATAGACTTAAACACAAACAGCTTCTTGCCCAAATAATTAGAACCCACTTTTCGAGTGTTTCCAAAAAATGGGTATCTGAAAATTTAGTATTTATATTCTTAGCAAAATGTTGCTGTTGAGAACATATCTCACAGGAACACTTTCAGAAGAAAAAGGTTTTTTTATTGGTGTGGACAGATATGCATTTCAGGCTTAATGCTCCTCTTCAGTCCTGAGATAGTGGCAGTTAAACCAACATGACTCGCAAGATATATACACATAGTTTAAAAAGGGGGAAAAAGGAGCTAATAGTTCTATTGGTTCAATACATATACACATGAGGATATATAACATGTGCTGTAGGATGTGACATTATTCATATGAGATGTGCAGAGAACATAGACAAGATGGGAGAGGTTACAAAGAAGTCAAAGAAGTGGTCCGTCCGTCCACACCAATAAAATAACCTTTTTCCTCTGAAAGTGTTCCTGTGTGATATGTTCTCAACAGCAACATTGTGCTAAGAAAATACATATAATAGAGAACAACCAAGATTTTGAAAATTTAGTGTTTAGTCTTTGGAAGTTTCATATCCAAGAGTGGCAATGGCCAAGTGAATAAGACGCTAAGCACTGGAGCTAGATGATGTAAGTTTAATTCTTTGAAATTTTAGTTTAGTTTTTTCTTGTGTGACATTATTATTTTACCATGTTATTATTACAGCAAAGCATCGATTATCTGAATCAATTGGAGACTGGGGTTGTTTGGAAAATTGATTTTTCAGATAACTGATTATGTACAAAGAAATATATTAATCTATCCCATGTTGAAATTTGTTCAAATTCTGGCACGTCCTTAAGTACCCTCTCATGGTCGCGCCAGTGCTGCCAGCTAAAACATGTACACCAACAAAAATAATATTGGAGTAGCCCAAGATATAGCCAAAGATTGCAGCACCACAGCACTAGCAAAAATTTAAATTTGTTGACTGGGAAGCTTTTAGTTAATTGACATTTAGGTTGATTGATATTCAGATAATCGATGCTCTACTGTATTATTATTCCTCACATTTATGAAACAAGAGATTAAAAATTGTGATGTCATATCCTGTTTATGGAAAACAAGCACTATAGATTTAACTCTTACGATATTAAATAAAATTTTCTACATATTTGTTTTTAGATGTGGTGGTATTGTGACATTTGAAGTGTAACAAATATAAGTACATGAGGAATTGTCCATAATATTAACAATTAAAAAATAAAATGCTGCGACTTGCTACCCTATTTTTGTATCACTTGTCTCTTTTGTCCATGTGCAGTAATGTCTGAAACTTATTCACTTATGAGGACATAGCATGTAAAATATGTGAAAATAAATGTGAAGAAATACAAGTTTTATTTAACAACATAAAAGAGTTAAATCTGTAGAAGCTTGTTTTTGCTAAACAGGAATGATGTCACAAGTTTTAATCTCTTGTTTTATAAGGTTTAAACATGAAAAATAATAATGCTAATGATGTGGTAAAATAATAAAGGTACACATAAAATTAACTAAGATTTATAAGCTAAACACTAAATTTTCAGAGGCCTAATTTTTCGAAATGCTTGAAATGTGGATCCTATTATTTGGACGACAAGCTGTTTGTGTTTAGGGCTACGTGCTCACCAAGTTTCGTTCAAATCAGAGACCCAAATGTCTGGCCCTCCCCTTGCTAGCAATAGGAATCATTTTTGAATAATTTTTTTAACGAATAATTCCAAACATACTTGATCACAATGTTTAAACAGTATTTCACAGATTCTGTCATGTCAAAATTTTTGTTTTGGTCTACTGAAAAAAGTCATCTTAAAAAAATTCCCCAAAATTTCTGTCAGTCAATAAAAAATCTCAATCTGGAAACACTAGGTGGCATTGCACAAAACTACCTTAGGTTCTCGACATCACTTCCTACTTTTCTTCCCGAACTTGCCGTGTGACATCATGAAATCGCTAGATATGTAGTACAAGGGACTCCCATTGTACAGAATCTCGACATTTTGCTATTTTTCCTAAAGTGTGACTTGTGATTCAATTTCACACTGCATGTCAAAACAAGTGATGTGATTCAATTTCACACTCAGCCTAGGATTTTATTACCAGTATTATATTTTTATCACCACCTTAATAAAAATATTGCCAAGTAGNTGAAACTTATTCACTTATGAAGACATAGCATATAAAATATGTGAAAATAAATGTGAAGAAATAAAAGTTTTATTTAACAACATAAAAGAATTAAATCTGTAGAAGCTTGTTTTTGCTAAACAGGAATGATGTCACGAGTTTTAATCTCTTGTTTTATGTTTAAACATGACGAATAATAATGCTAATGTTGTGGTAAAATAATAAAGTTACAAATAAAATTAACTAAGATTTATAAGCTAAACACTAAATTTTCAGAGACCTAATTTTTCGAAATGCTTAAGATGCGGATCCTATTATTTGGACGACAAGCTGTTTGTGTTTAGGGCTACAAGCTCACCAAGTTTTGTTCAAATCAGAGACCCAAATGTCTGGCCTTCCCCTTGCTAGCAATAGGAATCATTTTTGAATAATTTTTTTAATGAATAATTCCAAACATATTTGATCACAATGTTTAAACAGTATTTCACAGATTCTGTCATGTCAAAATTTTTGTTTTGGTCTACTGAAAAAAGTTACCTTAAAAAAATTTCCCAAAATTTCTGTCAGTCAATAAAAAATCTCAATCTGGAAACACTAGGTGGCATTGCACAAAACTACCTTAGGTTCTCGACATCACTTCCTACTTTTCTTCCCGAACTTGCCGTGTGACATCATGAAATCGCTAGATATGTAGTACAAGGGACTCCCATTGTACGGAATCTCGACATTTTGCTATTTTTCCTAAAGTGTGACTTGTGATTCAATTTCACACTGCATGTCAAAACAAGTGATGTGATTCAATTTCACACTCAGCCTAGGATTTTATTACCAGTATTATATTTTTATCACCACCTTAATAAAAATATTGCCAAGTAGCGATTTTGGCCTTATGCAGCGAGATCTCTGCAGTTGTCTCCAAAACTAAATTTATAATAATTATATAAACATCTCTCAAAACCTGATTCATTAGTATGAAGCCACACCAACTGCTGTATAAGATCAGGCTATTTTCCAGAGATTATAATTCTAATTACTAATTAATTTGTCCATAGAGGGATGCATTAATCACATCTATTATATGCATTTTACAATATCGTATTACATATTTTCCTTATTAATTTAATTTTATTCCATGAAAATTCATAATTTATTTTTAATGAATTTTAGATTATCAGAAAAATATTTCTTTACATTGCAATAAATATTCTAATAACGCATTTCCAATAAGCCAGACAGAAGTGTGTCGTAATGTTTTCCGAGCAGCAGTTGGCTTTCTCCGAGCGGTTCAAATGCTACTCTCGGAACTAAATTAAATATGTAGATGAGTGGCAACTGCACATTGATAAAGAAAAAATTAGTATCTATTATGATTTACAATTGCAAAAACATTAATATATACTATCACTGTGCACAGTTGCACAGCTTAGAGAGAATCATGGTCCTTGTTGATAAGTATATTAGACTTATTTGAGGTGTTGTTTTTATATTTTATTAATTCCAGAGTAAAGCAGTAGCTAAAGTAGGTGCGGCACGCTATCAGTGGCAAATTATGGCATCGTTAGGTCTGAAAAATGAAGATATTAAGAAATTTGCCGATGCCGATTATTGGCTCCGTTATTTCCCTCCGTTAGCAATTCAGGATTTAAAATCAATGGGATTGAAAGTAAGTTTTTAATAATTTTTTTTAAAATAGTAATCACAAATGTTAATGAAATTAATTATAAAATGTTTTTAACAATTAATTGTTTTTTCTAAGCGAGTAGATGTCAGATTTTTTCTAAATTACTTTATGAACTAACTTTTGTTTTGATTATAATCATGTTCTATCTGAATTATTTTATAGACCCAAGAAAATTAGAACATGATAATTGTGATCAAATAAGTTTATTTTATTTAACCTATTACAGTGTTTTCATTTACATTATCTAAAACATGACATATTTTTGGTCTAATTCCTGATATTTTATAAATTAAGATTACAAATAATTTATCGAGTAATAGTTGTATTATTAAGATTCAATTGTATTAAGTCTTTAGAGTTAGTTCTTAGGTAGTTAGGTAAAGTCTTATTAGACGGAATTATTGTAACCTTTTTGATTTGTATTTGTTTGTATAACTTAATTAAATATGTTTGTATTGTTCAACCTGTGTAATTATTCGGAAATTTGTCTACTTACACATGTACCCCCTAATCACATTAGCCCTCCTAAATACAGTAGAGCGTCGATTTTCCGAATTAATTGGGGACTGGGGTTGTTCGTATAACTGATATTTCGGATAACCGGTTTANACCTAGTAAATGAAATAACTTAGGTCATTTGATAAAAATTCAATTTTTTTTTTATTTTAACATAAAAAATAATGACAAAATAGGATATTTTTGATTTGAATAAGGTTTGCTTTGTTGTTATGCCTTAAAATAATTAAGATTTTAAAATAAAACCGTTTAATTTATAAATTTAGGTCGATTGGAGAAGATCTTTTCTTACCACTGACGTTAATCCATTTTATGATTCCTTTGTAAGATGGCAATATATTAGATTAAAAGAAAGGAATAGAGTACTTTATGGTAAAAGGTATGTTTAATATTTCTTTTCTTATTAATACAGTAAACCCTATTAGCTCAAACTTCACGTAACTTAGATGAATTTTTTCAAAACAATAAGTTAAAATTTCTTAATGATGGAAAATTATAATTAACAAGTGTTTTTTATATCGGGAAGTCTTTCTGATACTATGCATTATATTACTGTAGTCGGTAAGTTACTAAAGACAATACATTGCCATATATCATACTGTTGTGAAACTTTTGGAACTTGTTTCCTGTTAGTAATAAATTCAGCAATATAATCTTAGTAAAACTTCTGTGTATGGGCCAATCATAATAAATTTCTGTACCATATTTACACATCAGAGAAACAGGTCCCACTAACTCAGACTTTTGTAAAGTCAGACAGCCTTTGCTCCTTATTAGTCAGAGTTAGCGGGAGTTAGCTGTATAACTGGTTTTTATCAGTTACTTTGTAAATAAAACATTAAATTGTGAGAGATTCTATTTTCCTCGTAAATTTTTATTCTAATTTTGTAGATGTTAAAAAACAGAAAAATTATTTATGTAGCTTCATTTTAGAAGAAAATCTCTGTTGAAAGTTTGTATTTTAATTACTAATTTACCATATATTAAAGGTTATCAAATTATAATGGATCTTCTATTAAATTCTTCAAATATTACAATAATTTTTAATGTAGAAAAAGTCTAGAAAAACAATGTAAGAATTCTCAGAGTTCAAGTGTTCTAATTCTTAGTTTTTTAATCTAATTCATAGTTTATAAGTGTGAAGTTTGTCGACCAGGTGAGTCTATCAGGATCATCGCACAGTCACGACTATTGTGTGGGAATGGCAATAACTCTCTGAGACAAGATTTCCATCTTTTAACCCATTTATTATATACATAAAAGATTCTTACAACATTTTGCAAAGTTGCGAAATAACACAGCTCAGGGAGTGAATGAAATATCCACTCAAGAATCCAATGTTCAGTTGGAAGGTCTCCTTTCAGTCCCTTGATGTAGTATGTTGTGATCGATGGCCCCAGGGTATGCGGTTCAGCTTTGGGCAAAATTCTCTGGAGAAGGGCGAATCTGAGTGAAGCAAGACATCATGGGAGAGCGACAGTAAGTCCCAGGAGTCAACAAATCGGTTGCTGTTGATCTGCAGGATCACAAAAATCCTGAAGTGGAGCACCAACAACCAAGAACCTCACGTCCTTGAATTGCATGTATTTATCAATTTTTCACCCAAAGCCACCTTTCCATTGGTCTCTCATCATCACTTGGTGAGAATTCAAAACCTGTTTGAGGGCGTGGGAGAGGTCAACGTCGCGACTAAACCGACTCCTCTCTAACCACATTTCCCTCAACTTGGGTCTTTTCAACACCATTCTTCCTTTGTTTTGATGTGTTACAAAAAAAACTTTTATTGCTTAATTGAGACCTTTAATTTCTCCCTTTTGTGTTTGTAAAATGAGATTTTTAAGATCTTGTTAATACCCCCTTCGGACATCCAAGTCAACCCCCGTCTGGATCCTTACATAAGAACAGATATTGTTCTCTTCTCATAAATGTTCATTCTTCAAAATAACATGTGAACTTTTACAATATGTTCAGTTTAAAATATGATAGCTCTTAGTTGCATTCTTAAGCAGAGATAGTTATAATTTATCAAATGTTTAAAACATGAGGATGTATGCATTTAATAAATATGGAAAGAAATGAAGCTGAAGAACATTACAAACAAAATAAATTAGGAAATATGATCCCAAAGTACATTCTAAATTAATATATATTTAAATCTTGAATCTCTATATTCAGGTAATATTTCTATTAAAAATACAAAATTAATTGTACCATATTTGCATATATATAATGTATATTATAAGAGTAAAAAAGTATCAGTCTGTTCATAAATGCTTACTGGTTCAACTACCGAAAACAGGCATCATTCAAAAACATTTCCTATAAAGTTTCTGGTGATGTACCAGTTGTTATCAGACTTGCCAATCTTCGAGAGTGAGTTAGAGAATGATTGACCAATTACCAATAATGTCATTCATTGCTGCCAATCAAATGATCAATAAGCACTCCTGAACGTACCCTAAGTAAATAAATAGGCAGATAACCCTTAGTATTCAAATATTAATTTTAAAATAAGTAAATCATTTAAATATTATTGCTCTTTATCAGAACTCTGCTTCTGTATTCAATTCTATCCATAACTATTGAATATATTAAAATGTTACTGTTCGTTATGTAGGTACACAATATTTTCTCCAAAAGATAATCAGCCTTGTATGGATCACGACCGCAGTACTGGTGAGGTAAGTTAAAAATACATTTTTAATTTTAAAACAATATATTTCAGATTCCAGATTACCAAAAAATTATTAAATTTTTAATTATTTTAGGGTGTTGGTCCTCAAGAATATACACTGATTAAATTGAAGCTTCTTCAGCCATTTCCATCTAAACTTAGGTATAGATTTTTAAACAGTGTTTAATTATTTGATTATAAAATAATATATGACTTTTTAAAATAATATTTCAGTAAATATTCAAAATATTGTGTGTATTTGGTTGCCGCAACCCTTCGTCCCGAGACGATGTACGGTCAGACGAACTGTTGGATAAGACCCGATATGAAGTATATAGCTTTTGAAGTAGTCAATAATAAAGAAATTTTCATATGTACAAGAAGAGCAGCAAGAAATATGAGCTATCAAGGTTTTACTAAAGAAAATGGAAGAGTGAATGTTGTTTTGGAATTAGAAGGAAAAGTTAGAAAATTTATAATGATTTTATTAGCAACAAGAGTTTACTTCTAGCTGTATTAACTTATTAATTTCATAAAATGTTCTAGGACATATTAGGCGTTAAATTGAAAGCCCCATTGACTACTTATGATGTTGTATATACACTTCCAATGATGACAATCAAAGAAGATAAAGGTAATGAAAAGAAATACTAAAGGAACAGTTGGATTCTTTATTTGGCTACAAGGCTAAATAATTACTAAGCAGTTTGCAGGAAGCAGACCACCAGAGCTGTCATCTCTTGCTAAATATAATACTAAATTTCAATTTTAGAATATTCTGTAAGAAAAGATTAGCCCAGGGTGGGACTCAAACCCTCATCTCCTGCTTACTGTGCAGATGCATTGCTAACATTATCTAGACCTCTGTCCAACTTTAGCTTCCAGGTTGATTTTAGATACAGTAAAACCTCGATTATCCGCCCCCCGATCAACCGACCCCTCGGTTAACCGACCGTCCTAGTCGGCAAATTTCAAATGTCCGCTAGTGATGTGGCGCTACAATAGCGACGATTATTATTTTAAAAAATTTTTGTTAGGCTTAACATCGATGAAAATTCAACGCAAAATAGGTTAATAGCGATATACTAATATACTAATTACATGGGATATAATAATATACTACACTAATAATGGATTTTTTCATACTTTTCGGTTATCCGACTTTTCAATTATCCGACCAACCCTAGTCCCCAATTAGGGCGGATAATCAAGGTTCTACTGTATAACCATATCAGTCACCATAGCAATGAATGGGAGTGACATAGAAGGCAGGCCCTGGCAAATTGCTTAGTAATTTTAATACAAACTAAGCTAAAATTAGTAATATGTGTTGGAGTTTTAGTTATTTACATAACTACTTAAAAAAGGTTTTTTTTGACAATTCAGCACATCTACAAATGTCCTTGTAACTTTGACAGTTAATGTGTTCTGATGATGTTTCTAGTGTTACTATGTAGTAGGTGATTAATTGTCAAACAAGAGGATGTGATTCTTGTTATAGATTATATCTATTTACAGAAGAGGGATCTGCAAATTACCAACCCAAAATATATCTAATAAAAATAATTTGTTAAAACATATCTGAGTGATCCCTGTTAATTCCTGATGACCTGTGTTAATTGTCAAAGTTAGAAGGGTCAATGCTTAGTAATTATTAGCTCATTAAAGAATCTGCCCATTCCATTGGTATTTGTAATAACTGTTGGTTAGTTATATTTATTATGTAGGTAATGAAAACAATGGAGAATATTTTAAAAACTACTTTATTTTCTACATTTCATATACTTCTTAATATATAATGAATCCTTGTGGATTCAATTTGTAATATTGTGTAAAATAGTGAAAGGATTTTAATTCAAATCACATTACATAATTCAACTTTATGATTGAATTCTCTCTGCAAAATTACATGCTGTTTGAAGTAAATGAAATAATTAATTAAAACATATTTTTCTTTTAACTTTTTTTAAAAAGGTACTGGTATAGTGACAAGCGTACCATCAGATTCTCCCGACGACTTTGCCGCTTTAAGAGATCTGAAAAATAAGCCCGAATTTCGAAACAAATTTGGAATTACAGATGAAATGGTTCTTCCTTATGAAGCAGTAAGTTTTGAAATTATAATGCTTTTAAAATAAGGTACAAGTTGAATTTCTGAAACTTAAGTAACAATTACTGAAACACTTGATAAGATTTGAATGATAATTGTAATAACATCTTTAAATTCCACTGTTTTTTCTTATTTCATTCCAATTTACTTAAAAAATCAACTTTGTTATTTTTTAAATATTCTTTGTTTAAATGTTTTTTGAAATATAACTGTTGTGTGCCTTCTACATCCCTAATTAATAAATTTTCCATGCATAGGAGTTTCCAGTTTTCTTTCTTTTTCTGATCTAAGTTTTAAAAGATTCACTTTATTAAATCTAACTTGTATCCCTTTACAATATGATCCAAGCATTTAATTTATTTTTCCTCAGCTTAAAAATTACAAATATTAATAATAGAATTTAATGATACAGATTTTAACTCATTAAAAAATCTATTGAAAATCTTTATAATACACACTACAGAATTTAAGGATGGACAATGTTTGTACACAAATAGAGAGAACTGTAGATGAATGCAGACAAATATGGCAAGAACTGTATTAATTGGCATTTAACACAGGTAACACACAACAACTTGTATGATTATACAAACCAAAACAATAAAAGAAAGTCTTTGATGGAAAAGATACGTGGAGAATGGATGGAAAGTGCTTACCAATACCCATTTAGAGAGAACTGTCAATACAGATTATGTTTACCACAAACTGTGATGCTTCACTCACAATGGTGTGATGGGCTTAACACCAACTGGTTTGGTAACGTTCCCTAGCTATCACTGCTAGCAATTCTTCAGTGTTTGTTCTTAAGGTTGGGATGTGTATTTACTACATTCATATAATTTTTAACTATTCACTAACTAGAGTATCATTTTTGCTCTTTAAATTTTACTTTCAATTATTTTTTTAATAGTAAAATATTCCGTAGAAACATTTTACAGTTTTACTTAGTAAGAAATGTATCAAACTTTAAGACTGTCTGATCTTATAAGTTGTTTCTGTAGGTTCCTATAATAGATGTTCCAGGATTTGGTTGTCTGAGTGCATTAACTGTTTGTGAACAGTTGAAAATACAAAGTCAGAATGACCGAGAAAAATTAGCAGAAGCTAAAGAAAAAGTTTATCTTAAAGGATTTTATGAAGGAGTAAGTATTGTTTTTAAATAATGATATGAATTATTTCAATAATTATGATATATTTGACTTAATAGGTTCTTATAGTAGGACCTCATAAAGGCAAAAAGATACAAGAAGTTAAAAAGCAAATACAAAAAAGTTTAATTGATAAGGTGAGTTTCCAGTGTATTTAAACAAAAAATTTACTCAAATTTAATTTTTGCACATTTAATTACATTTAGTTGTATATAATTCTTTGTTCTTTCTGACCTGTGTGCACTAAAAAGGCCTATTTTCATACTCATCATGGGTTTGACCAGGCCCATAACACATCTGAGACAAGAGGTAACAGTATACCCAACACATCTGAGCTCATATTGAAAAATTCCTGGGAATGGACCTTGTTACAATTGCAGTTGTGTTCATGTGTTACTTCCATACCATCTAGGGTGATTAGCTTAAGTTTTGGTGGACATCAAGTTGTTTTGTTCATTTCTACTACGTTGTAAGATAATGAATAATACCAATTTCTACAAAGTATAAAATGAAAGTGAAGGTCGTATAATATGTATCTCTTTATTGCCATCATTTATTTTTTAAAGATATAATCAGTTCTTTATATGACTAATATCTTATATGACTAAATGACAGTGGAATCAAACAAGAATTATCATTAAAAGAAGAAAATATTTATTTTGTGAAAGGATCTAAAAATGAAGATTTTCAATAAATAACCATGATGAGTTATATAACCATACTGCAGAGTGTCACATTTACAATAAAATATTAATAATGTGTTAAAATTTACATGAAATGAGTAATTATTTATTGTGACAATGTCACAATGCTGGGCTGCAATTTTTCATCATATTTTTAATTTATTTAATTTAAAATATTTGCTATATATTTCGAATTAGAGTATTGTGGTGTCTTGCCCCTGTACATCACACTTTCCTGTTAGCAATAGTGTGTGCTGGTCATCTATCTACTCCTTTCAGGGGAAAATTGAAACACGACTTCCAGTTTGCATTGAAAATTCATATATACTTAATCTGGGCCTTATGCCCTGAAGCTTTCCATATCTGGTCTTGAATTTCATTTATCTAATACCATTTTCAAGATTAAGGAAAGATGGACAGACAGACAGTGGGAAATTTATGTCTATGGTTTTTTCAACTTGCAGCCTAATAAAATTTTTTTTCAAGCATGAAGCATGTCTTAGAAATATAGACTCAGACACATTTTTTTTTTCTTGCAAAAATACATATTGCCTGAAAAGTTACTGTGCAGCGAGAAATTTGTACAGTGACATTAAACTTATACATATGGTATTGAATACGAGACCTATAAGTTGTATGCAATATCATACAATCAACTTATACAGTATTACCTACAAGGCCTGTGAGTTGTCCATTTGGTACCAGTTGACTGTATGGTATGGTATGACATTTTTATTTTAGTGGCCGAAAACGTTCGATGTGTATTTTTGACTTTTATTTGCTGGAAATTTTGAATTTAGGTGTGGTTTGGAATATAGTAGAGCATCAATTATCCGAATCAATTGGGACTGGGGTTGTTTGGAAAATCGATATTTCAGATAACTGATTATGTATGAAAAAATATATTAACCTATCCCATGTTGAAATTTTTCTCCGTTGCGTGTCGCTTCGAGTTGAATTTTTGTCGATGTTAAGCCTAATGAAGACTATTGTATCATTAAAATAACTATTGTATCATTATTGATGATATATGACTATTGTATCATTAAAATAACAAACAAAATAAATATATTGAAAAATATAAAAACAATAAAAAAGTTATACTTCAGAAGTTAATTTAGTATCAAAAACGTAAAATATTTGAGTAGCGCAAGATGTAGCCAAAGATCGCAGCGCCACAGCACTGGCAAAAATTTAAATTTGCCGACTGGAATTCTTTTGGATAATCGGCGCTCTACTGTATTATGGTTTGAGTTTATGGTGAGGTTGTATTTATTAGATATGATTTGTGAATACAACTTAGGTCTTGTATGGTATTGAATACAAGACCTATGTGACATTATTGTATGGCATTATTTGTAGTGACAACTTTAATATCACTACAAATTTATCACCATACAGAAATGTTTTGGACACCCTGTAATAATTTTGGCCAGAAAGGCTTTTTAAAATGTGTCCAAAAATGATATATTAACAGAAAAAATATACCAGAATCTTATTTTTTACTATTTACAATTAAGAAAAACTATTTGTATGTTATTAAATATGTTTAGTAATTACAAGAATACAGTTTTTATCTTGATACAATAAATAATCAGTTTTTTCATTTTTTAAAGAACTAAGTCTATATTTCTAGGACATGCAGAAACACGTTGTGATCTGAATTTTTTAAACTTTGGATAAAATAAATGCTTTGTAAAATCTCAGAGTAAGTACTTTCCTATTCAGATCTGGGATATTTCAAAAGTTTCTTTGAAGTTTAAAATGTTAATAATCTTCAATGAAGATAGACAATTATTATTATTATTATTTGGATAGCAGACCAGCTCTGCAATTAAATCACCCACATCCACTAGAAGAAATTGTTTCAAAAAACTTAATTCTGTTTGTTATTTATTTTGCAGTTCTGTTTCTTCAAACTGTATTGGTTACAAACTGATTTAGATTAAAAATTTTTTGTGCATCCTTAGATGCAACAATTCATTGGCTTTTTATTACATGTATAATAAAATAAGCAATATCAATAAAAACAACACTATAAACAGCATTGATGCCCATAAAACTTTCACAAAGTTTTTACAAGTGGGCACTCTATGTAACTGTGATAAGGTCCATTACTCATCCAGATTAAGAAATACATAGATATCTGTTAAGGCCTCAATGTATTATATTATTTAGATAAGGCTATCCAGCTTCATCTATTACATTTAGGAGCATAAACATTACATTTTATTAATTTAATTTGTTATTTTTTAAGTATATAATCCAATTACACTATATCAAATTGGTATGTTGCTTTATACATATAAATTTAATATTGCACGAAATAAAACTTACAAGATAAAAAAAATAGTGTAGCTTTTTATTAAACTCCTTCTACCCTGTGAGCACTAAGAGAAAGTTAATCATTCTCATTATGTGTTTGGCCAGACCATCATACACATAATAGAAATTATTAAAAGGACAATGGAAACAGCTGGTAGTCAGTGATGGGTCCAACATATCCAGAGCAGACAAATCCCTGAAAAATTTTCACTCATCCAGATTCGGTGATTGGTCTCCCAGAACAGTATATTTAACTGTGTTAGCCATCTGGCTATTAAAAGTCATTTAATAATATCAGTTAAGAAATAAAATTTGGGATTTTACAATTTATAGCATTAATTGTATTTATATGAAAATCTTATCTGTCAATCAATAATAATTTAAGTTTTTGTATAAACTTCTGAATATTAAAATAGAACGAAGCTATTCTTTATATGGAACCAGAGAAACAAGTAATATCCCGTTCTGGAGACGAATGTGTTGTGGCATTATGTGATCAGTGGTAAGTCTTGAAGTTTCATTAGGTAAAAATCACACAAATATGCAAAAATACCAAATTGCAACTTATGAATCTTAAATAACATCACAGAATATTCAAATTATTCCATTTTATAATTCAATGTGGCTCTTTAATTTTTGGAACGGCTTCTAACCCAAAACAGGCCCATAAATTGGGCCGAAAACTATTCTGTGATTAAGGTTATTGCTGGAAAAGTACAAAAAGAGTGTTTATGTGATTTTATCCACGAATTTTCAGCTTTTAAAAGATATTTGAATTTTTGTTAGCTTCCAAAATATAAATTGTTTTCTTTAATATTTGTTATTTATAGGTTCCTAAATTATGGCGAGCCAGACTGGAAAGCTCAAGCTAAGACGGCCTTAAATAAGATGGATACTTACTCAGATGAAGTTCATAAAAATTTCCTAGCAACCTTACATTGGCTTCACGAACATGCGTGCTCTCGCACGTATGGTCTTGGTGAGTGTTAAAGTAAAACGCTTATAAGAATTTTCACTCTTAATGCTTTTTATTGCTTTCAATGCCTGTCAGAATAATTAATTCAAAAAAATTTAATGAATTTTTTTCTCAGGTACCAGAATGCCATGGGACGAACAGTGGCTGATAGAATCTCTTTCGGACTCAACGATCTACATGGCCTATTATACTGTTGCACATTTACTACAGGATGGAGCCATTAATGGTGACAAAATTGGCCCACTAGGAATCAGGTTAGATTTTGGAAAAACATTTTTAATTATCTATTATTATAAAGCTACATTGGCATAGTTTGATTCCAATGTAGCTTTATAAGCTGTATTACCTTTGAAAAATGGAAAACTCAACTGAATCAGTTTTGAAGGACTTTCGTACAATATTGAATGATCAAGATCTTTTTTGTTATCTTGTTACTATGAGAAATGCTCATAATGCTCATTACTTTGTAGAACAAAAAAGCAGACTGAAAGAATTTGATATTCCTCAAACAAAAATTCAAAATTTTAGCAGATTGAGAGGAAGAAGAAGAGATCAAGGACATGTTTTTATGATTGAATATCACACAAAACAAAACAAACTGGATGAGTGGAAAGTAACTAGGCATTGAGAAATCACTATAATTTTTTAATAATAGTTCAATCATAATAAAATTTTTTCACGGATGTAATCAACCAACGGAACTGTGGGGAGTGACTGAAAGAAGCGACATGCACAGTGGCAAAAAAAAATGGCCAACCACTTGTCTGTTTGGGAAAGAGCACAGTTTGCTGACTGCTATGATGTGTTGAAATCATTGGTTGCCATGCAGAGATGTTGAAGTAAGGTGAAGGGACATCATCCACAATTCATCCCAAAAAAATATTAAAAAAAAAATAAAAATTTATTCAAAGCTTGTCATTCATTTCAGTATGTCCACTACCACAGATTTGGTAGTGGACACACTGAAATGGTCATCTATCCATCCACATCATGATCCTCTGTCATTTGAGAACTTGATGGATGGTGTTGGTGCATACATTAAATTTTAAAGCATGCATCCATATTTCCATTTAATAAGGTACATACATATGGTACAACATAAGGTACATAATACAATACATGTCGAATGATTTTCATCATCATTGTCTTAGAAAGTTTATGAACCAGACATTGATTATTTTCCATCCACCCTGTATAATTGCTATCAAATGTAATTTTAAATCAGCAATTTTTTAATTTAGAAAATACTTTTATACTTAGATCTAGGAAATTCTAAATCATATGTCCATAAAAATTACTTTAAAGTTTGCAAGAAACTTATTTAAAAGTTTCTTGCAAACTTTAAAGTAATCTTTTTTATCTATTGATTAATTTCATGTCTATGTTGCTAAAATAAGTGCTGTAGTACTTTAAATTGCAAATTAATAATTAAAAATTGGTGATTATGGAGCAACTGTTGAAAAATGTTTGATGTTCTTTAAGTATTTTCAATCTATGGATGTTTACAGGTATATGAAATTTTCATAAAAGGGGTATATGAACAGGAAAAGTTTGCGAATCACTGATCTAGAATGTTGCTATATAGAAAAAGACTAGTGGCAGCTTATGGCTTTCTAATAAAGAGGTACACCTAATATAATTGAAAGCAAAGAAACTACATTTATTTAGAAAACATATTACACACAATGAAAATGATTAGTGAATGTGATTGTGCCAGTTTTCTGAAATCACAATCAAATTTGTTTTATAATTACTCAAAACCTTGGATATTTATAGCATATTTTGTTGTAGCTTGCTTTAAGATTGTTTATAAAGCGGGAGGATAGGAGTTACACAGTATCTATCAGAAATACACAAAAGTCATATCCTTTACTGGAGAACTGCCTCATTAATTTATAGTATTTTAACTATATTATATATAGTTAAAATACTATATTATAATAGTAATAGTTTACTGTTATGACTGGCTAGGTTACAATCATTTAACTCTTTTGATTGTGAATGTATCCTTAGGTTAAGTTGCAAGTTACACTTAAGTGTTTGTGTATATTACATTACATTATAGTCAGAAAACTTACACAAATATTATATGTGTAAATAGTATGTACCAAGTTTATAAAAAGAAATTGTATAAGTATATGGGAGTGTAATAAGCATCTGGAAGTCATGTGCAGCTTACAAGCCAGTTTGGCCACTGTATAATAAATAATGAATGAATAAAATAGCAGTCAAGTGAGCATCTATATCAATTATTCTTAACCACTGTGCTGCCACTGCAAATATCCATACATAAATGATGTCAGACAAGTAGTTTAATCAGTTCTACCTTCCTGGAAATTTTAACTGGTATTACCCATAACTGCCGGTAGTTACCAAGGCATTTAGAAAATGTGACCTAAATAACCAAATGCATTTAATAATCACTGTTATGATGTCACCGGTTGTTCTGCAGTACTTACCAAAGTAACCGTGTGTGCAGCCAAATTTTTAAATTATTAAAAGTGTACCATGATGAAAAAAAGGTTGAGAATCACTGATCTATATATTGTTTACATTTCTTCAAAGAATGTGCATATTTATCATAGAAATAAATATGGTTATGATTCAAAGTATAATCTAATGATAAAAACATATCTTTTTAGGGCAGAACAACTTGTACCAGAAGTTTGGGACTATATATTTTTTAAGAATGCCCCATACCCCTCCACAGACATTTCTAAAGAAAGTCTTGATAAATTAAGGAGAGAATTTCGGTACTGGTATCCACTCAATTTACGTTGTTCAGGGAAGGATCTCATTCCGAACCATCTCACTTATTTCCTGTATTCTCATTGTGCCATGTGGCCAGAAGAACCCAACTTGTGGCCTTTGGGTATAAGAGTGAATGGTCATCTGCTGTTAAATTCTGAAAAAGTATGTTGTTTATGTAATTAAAATTTATTATTTTAAAAATAAAAATAAATAAAACAAAACTTTTTAGATGTCAAAATCTACAGGAAATTTTCTTACCTTATCGGAAGCTATCGAAAAATTCTCGGCTGATGGTATTATTATTATTATTACTTACTTTTTGACGTTTTGATTTGTTTAAAATTATTAAAAATTTTCATTAATTTTGAACAGGGATGCGACTGGCTTTGGCTGATTCGGGTGACGGAATCGAAGATGCAAATTTTGTAGAAACCATGGCCGATGCAGGAATTCTTCGTTTGTATGCATTTTTGGAATGGGTTAAAGAAATGATTACTTCAAGAGAATCTCTAAGGGTTGGACCCACTAACTCTTTCAATGACAAAGTATTTATGAGGTATTGTTAAAGTTTATAATAAAACCTTTTCTTAGAACTATATCATTTCAAAAAATATTAAAGAACTATAAATTTATACTTAAAACTAACAAGAAATTATGCTTTGGCTTTTAATTAATAAAGCATAATTACTTCTTAGTTTGAAACATGCAAATTATTTTCATTATAAGTTTTCCAACAGATGTAAAATATCTACTTTTATGTTCTATATTTTTCTTAGATCTGTTCCTCCTCTTGCTCCTCCCTTTTCTTTTATCATAGATGCACTTATAATCTTTCTTTCCAATGTCCTTCCCATACTGTCCTTCTATGCTTTCCAATTGGACATGCTACTGATTTTAACTATGTCCTATCTGCAAAAATTTCACCATGTTCCCAAACATATAAGAGCATGCTCTTATTGATGGGGCAAAACCTGCATTATATTTTTGAAAGTACTTTAAAAATCTTTTATAATTATGGAAGCATATTTTTATTTTTGTCAGTGAATGGAGGATATTGTATCTGTAAGTGTACTGTACATTTAATTTACATTACTACAGCAATACAGTGCTCATATAAGCAAAAACAAGCTGGCACACATACCTTGCATATGACGGCATGCTCTTATGCACTTATAAGTAATGCAAGACATATTTCAAAAATGTAAAACAAGCAATTTTTACATATTAGAGCAAGCTCTCGATGGAAATGCAGTATGTGAATCCAGTTAATTTCTATTGATATTTCATCTGTATTGAATCCATATTTATATGTGAATAAGGAATGCTGTAATCCAATCTTTCTTTTCTCTGTAATCCTTACAAAGTTTAACAATTTCAATACTGCACCTCTAGCATCCAAAGGTTTTTCATGACGATACTTACATTTTAACATTTACTATATAAATAAATAAAAACCAAATACACACTTATGCAATTTTAAGATTGAAATTTATGGACGTGTAGAATTATATTTTTAAAATTCTTGATACGATGGAATCGTGCATAACTAATTTAGTTAACTCAAATTTGCAATTTTATTTCTAAAACTGTTCAAATTAGTAATCACTTTTGAAAGGATACTCAATTTTCTCTGACAGATTTTCTTTTATTCTCCACCTTGTGGGCACTAAGAAGGCCTTTTTTTACCAAGACCATTATGGATTAGGTCAGGTGACAAAGGGTTGGCTCCAATATATCCGGTGAAAACCACCCACAGAAAATTTCTAGAGTTTTTCAACCTGCCTTTATTCATTCTTGGGTCACCC